AGCTGTTCAACCTCTTCTTGAACACCTCCAGTGATGGACAACCCACAGCTTCCCTAGGCAGTCTGTTCCACTGCCTATTCTCTCAGTGAATACGTTTTTCTGGATGTCTAATCTAAATTTGCTTTGTTGCAACTTCAAGCCATTGGTCTGCATCTTTCTCTCTGCAGCATGAGAGAAAAGGTGTTTTCCCTCTTCCTTATGGCAGCCCTTCAGGTATTGAAGACTGCTATCATGTCCCCTCTTATCCATCTCCTTAGCAAGCTGAAACTGCTTAGCTCCTTCAGCCTTTCCTCACATGACTTGCCTTCCAAGCCCTTGATCATCTTTGTTGCCCACCTCTGGACCCTCTCTAACTTCTCCATGTCCTCTTTAAAATGTGGACCCAAGAACTGCATACAGTACTCCAGACAAGGCCTAATCAGCGCTGAGTAGAGGCACTATCACCTCCCATGTCTTGCCCCTAATACTTCTATAGATGCAGTCCAAAACTGCATTTACCTTTTGTGTGGCTGCATCTCACTGAAGACTCATATTGACTTTGTTGTCTACCAGTACTCCCAAATCCTTTTCTATAAAGCTGCCATCCAGCCAGGTATCCTCCATTTTATATTCATGTTTTTGATTATTCCTCCCAAGGTGTAGCGCCTTGCATTTGTCTGCATTGAACTTTGTCCTGCTAGCTCTAGCCCAACTCTCCAATCTGTAGAGATGCTTCTGAATTGCACTCGCACTATAGTCCTTCCCAGTTTTGTGTCATCCATAGACTTGCTCAAGAAGCTCTCTATGCCAGCATTGAAATAGTTAATAAACATGTTGAGCAGCCCCAGGCGACCCTGTGGGACTCCACTCAAAACCTCCTGCCATTATGACATGGACCTGTTAATAATTACCCTTTGCTTATGGCTATTGAGTCTGTAATCTATCTACTTTTTAATAGTTTTATCCAGCCCACATTTCTCCAGGTTGTTTATGAGAAGGTTGTACAAAAGCACAACCTTGTCAAAAGCCTTGCTGGAGTCCAGATATAGTGATATACTATGTCCACAGCATTTTCTTCATCCACCCAAGTAGTTACTTTGTCAAAGGAGGAGATTAGATTTGTTTGACACAACTTGTTCTTCGTAATTCCATGCTGGCTGCTTGTGATCAGCCTTTCCTCCTTCAGATACTTGCAAATGGCCTTCCTTAAGATTTGCTCCAGTAACTTCCTAGGTACTGAGGTGAGGCTAATCACTCTGTAGTTCCCTGGGACTTCCTTCTTGCTTTTTTTAAAGATGGGTACTACATTAGCTCCTTTTCAGTCCTCTGGTACTTGGCCCATCTCCCATGACTTCATGAAGCTCTTTGTCAAGGGCTCCGAGATACCCAGTCAGAGAGCTTTTGTTGGGTTTGAATTAATTCAAGTCAGTAGGGCCAAATAAGTTTCATCCCAGGGTCCTGAAGGAACTGGCAGAGGGCATCTCCTCCCTCATTTTGCCCCCTTTCTTATCCACATAATTCTTACTAGGTGTCCGGCAGCTTAATATTTTTGTGACGACTAAGACAAAGTAGCTGTTGAGTTGTTCTGCCTTCTTTGCATCTTTGGTTAGTTCTCCCTGGCTTGGTAACAGAGGACCCACAGCTTCATTGGTCCTTCTTTTCTGGCCAACATACTTATAGAATCTCTTGTTGTCCTTATCCTTCTTTTGCCAGGTGCAGCTCATTTATTTATCTTTACCTTCCTGATCATGTCCTCGCAGGTCCTTTCTGTTTCCTGGTACATGTCCTTGGTGACCTACCCATTCTTCCATTGCTTGTATGCTTTCCTTCTGTGTTTGATGCATTTTAGAAGTTCCTTGTGCAGCTACGTTGGTCTCTTGTCTTGCCATTCTTCTTGTGCTTCCATTGTGTTAGACCAGTTTCTTGTTGGGCTTCTAATATTGTGCACCTTAGAGTATAGGTGTCCAGCACCCCCTCAGTCTGTCCTCCCATGACATCGTGGTCATTGGCTCCTTCAGTCGGATGAAATCCACCTTTTTGAAATCTAATGCCCTAATTTTGCTGACTTCATGCTTTCTCCGTCTCAGGATCTGGAATATTAGCATATTGTGATCACTTCCTTCCAAATTGCCCATCACCTTCACATCCTGGTGATGATTTCCTGGTTTCTCTTTCTGGAAGATAAAGTTGTCCTCTGCACAAGTTAGGAACTAGCTTGACATTTTATGTTTGGCTGCATTGTTTTTATAGAAGGTGTCTAGAAAATTGAAGTCTCCCATCAGTACTATCCCATAGCTTTTGAATAGATTTGTCACCTGCTAGACTAGTGCCTGATCCACCTCCTCCTTCTGGTTAGGTGGCCTATAATAAATCATTACCATTATATCAGTGCTATACCTTTCATCTTCACCCAAATGCATTCTGCTTTGCCATCATCTCCCTGTGAAGCAGGAATAAGTGTTTGTGTTTTTGATATACAAGGCAACACCACCAGCTTTTCTCCCAGCTGTCCTTCTGAAACAGTGTGTAACCTTCAGTGTTCATATTTCAGTTATAAGAGCTGTCCCACCAGGTTTCAGTGATGCCAGTCAGATCATGGTCCTTTTTGAGGGTGCAGCTTCAACTCATCTAGTTTATTCCCCATACTTCTCACATTTTGTGTACATGTCCAGGATGTTATTTTGCATTTTGACCTCCTCACTTCCTTTTTCTTACAGTTATTGCAGTCCTGTAGCTTTCTGGCCCTTTCCCAGAGTTGAGTTGCTTCTTTCATTCCTTTCCCTGTACTCTGTTGCTGGAGGGTTTTGATCACCATCCCCTGTGAAACCTAATTTAAAGCCCTCCTTACTAGGTTGGCCAGATGATGCCAAAATATGCTCTCCCTCATCTTCATTAGATGGCTCCCACCTCTTAATAGCAGCCCTCCTCCCAAGAACATCCCCCCCATTGTTGAAGCCAAAGCCTTCATGTTGACACCACTGCCTTAGCCATGCGTTCACTTCCAAGATAGAGGTCCAGGCAGAGACCATTTTGCCTTTCATGGGAAGGATTGATGAGAACACCACTTGTGCTCCAAGCAACTTAATCCTCCCCTTATGAGCCAGGAGCCTCATAGTCACCTGTGATCTGGTCAGTGTCCCTCTTTTGCTCTCTGGAGAGCATACATCCTGTAAGAATAAAAGGGGGGGGGCAGGGAAGACAACACAAAAATTTGCATGCCAAACACTTGCACCAGGTGCAAGTGGGTACTTACCCATGCTCCTGCCCCCACACACAGACACACAAGCACAGTGTCCTGCTCCCTCCTGGGTGAACTCCCTGGATAAACTCTGTCTGTTTGCTGTCCTATGGTTCCTAGGGGCTGCTTTTTTTATAAGGCTGCCTATCCCAGCTTCATCCCTCAGTTACTGAAACCAGCCCCACCCAAAACAAGCCCTGTCACCCAGTCACTTCAGAAGGGGAAAGAAAAGAAAAGAACAAAGAGAGAGAGAAGCAATCACATACTACAGGTGGGGGAGAAAAAAACCCAAACACACCAGGCACTAGGCAAACACTCTAAGTAGCAATCAGCCACCCTAAGTCATTAGCACAAAGAAAAGCCTCTTCAAGGCTGTCTTACATCTGAGCTGCTTATCCCAGAGCCACTGCTCTCTGCTTACTATTCATCTTACTGAGCCATACACCAGGTAAGACGTCAACAATGCTGATAGTGGAAGAATCACTTCCCTCAATTTGCAGGTGATACTCTTGTTCAACCTAGGATGCTGTTGGCTTTTTTTTTTGCCACAAGAGCATATTGTTGACTCACATTCAGCTTATGGTCAAGGACCTGTAGCCCCCAGGTCCTTCTTTGGAGTACTGCAGCCTAGCCACTTATTCCCCAGTCTGTATTTGTGCATGCAGTTATTCTGCCCCAAGTGCAGGACTTTGCACTTTTCCTTGCTGAATCTCATTTGGTTTGGTTGATAGTGGACCATTTTTCCAGTCTGTTCAGGTCATTCTGGATCAAAGTCCTGCCTTCCAGCTAACTTGGCATTATCTGCATATTTGCTAAGTGTTTGCTTAGTCCTGTCATCTAAATCATTAATGAGGATGCTGAATAGTACCAGACCCATGACCTCTTGCCAACTAGACATTGAGCCATTGATGACTACTGGTAGAGCACAATGATCTAGCATCCTCCCTCTCCTCTCTTCCCCCTCCCCAAATCCACAGAGCCTCTCACCTTATCATAGAAGGAAATCAAGTTGGTCAGGTATGACTTGCTTTTGGTGAATCTATGCTGGCTTTCTGATCACTTTGTTATCCTCTAGGTAGTTCACAATAGATTGCTTGAGGACCTGCTCCATGATCTTTCCAGGTATAGAGGTCAGGCTGACTGGTCTGTAGTTTCCCAGATCCTCCTTTTCCCCTTTCTTAAAAGTGGTCATTATTTGCTCTTTTCCAGTATCCAGGACCTCACCTGGCTCCATGAGGTTCTCAAATGGCTTTGAAATTACCTCAGCCAGTTCCTTCAGTATGCTAGGATGCATTCCGTCTGGCCCTGCTGTCTCTGGTTTCTGCAAGTAAACCTCAAGTGTACTGTCTCCGTATCGCCTCTGTTTCTCTGCTGCAATAGCTGCTACCTGGCTCGGCTGGGGCTGGAGCAAGGTTGTGGTCTGTGCCCCAGGCCAGGGCAGGGTTGGAGCCAGCGAATAAGCAATAGTGGGGAGGGAGAGGGGGAAGACGGTGGCCAGAGGCAGCAGGGAGGGCCAGGTCAGGAGGCTGGGCACCAGGGGAGGGTAGGTGCCAGGGGGGTGCAAGCACACCTCCCCCACCTCTTGCCTTCCCATTGCCTGCTCCTCAAGAAGTCACTTCAGTACTTTACTACTTGCTTTTGCCAAGTAAATTTGAGGCAGGTCTGCAGATTTAGCTCTCTACATTGACCAGTGCTGCTGCTGCCCCTCTAAGAACCCTGCTGTATGTGAAACTAATCATGGTGAGAATGCATTATGTTTAATGGGGGATTTTCTTTCTTTCAGCCTTTTTTCCAACTTGTAAAACTACGGAAACTTGGACTTAGTGATAATGAAATTCAACGGCTCCCTCCAGAAATAGCAAACTTCATGCAGCTGGTGGAACTTGATTTGTCTCGAAATGGTAAGCTAGAGTGTTTGCTTTTGTTCAACTCTGCATTACATGTGATAAAACGTTATTCAAATGCTGTAGATTACTTGGATTTTTGGTCTGAAGCCCTTAAGTCTGCTGCTGGGTAGCATTTGGAGAATGCTGAAGTCTGAAGCATGGCATATGTTTCTAGGTGTAGTGAGGACCTAGCAGTAGAGTTATGCTTTAGTGATTAAAATATTGCCCTGCTCTAGCTTCTCCCTTCTGAAAAGTTCTGTTACTGGCTGAAAACATATTTTGAAAGTGTCCTTTGTCATAGTGTGCATGCATGTGGTGAAGCTGTTTATACATGTGTAGACAACAGAAATGGATATGTGAAGGAAAAATGTCCACTCGGGTCCAAATGCAATCATTGTGCTGGGAGCCCAAGTCCGTTCTTCTTTTTCTTCCTTTCCCCTGATCTTTCCACATGCTCTGTAGTAAGAGGAGGAATTATCCTATTTGTTCCTCTCTGCAAGTAGCCATAGTAGTTTCTTCAGTTCTTGTTTAAGCTGCTGCCCCAGCAGTGACAGTGAACTTGGCATGTCCCTTGTCAGCATTTTATAGCTTGCTGAACTCTGTTGTTCATTACTAGTTTAAGCCTAGCAAATTAGTGTTCATTGGTGGATCATGGTTTCTTGTTGCTGAGGCCCTTAAAGACTGAGAAATTAGAAGGTTTAGCACATTAAACCCATGGCAGGTGTGCAATGCTGATGCATTTCCAGTTTTACCAAAAGAGCAAAAGTCAGCTGGCTGCAGAGGCAGTCATGTCTGTCCTTTTACATTCAGAGTGTTGCTTCAGAATGTTCCTCTCATGGAGCAGAGAAATGAATAAAGAGTGAAACTCTGTATAACGAGGAAGACAATAAATGCAGGAGACCTAGAGAAATTGTGTAAACTTGTAAATGAAAGCATTGAAACACCAGTTTCACTTGTAGAAACACTTGGTGCTTGTCCTCAATACCTGTCTAAACGTTGATTTTTTTTTTTCGAGTGATGGAGCAAGTGTTCTTTTTCTGGACAGTCACTAATGAAATGAAAGTCTCTAAACACTTAATGGCAGACTTCCACTGCCCTACCTTACTTCATGTGTATTTCCAGAGTGTTGTACGGCAAAGGAAGAAATCTAGGTAGCTGACCAGGAAATATCTGGGAGCTGGAATTAATGCATTTGTTTAATTAAGACATAGTGTCAAATGGTGCGTCTTGGCTTTAATGTAATTGGCTTCATGTGCAGGACTTGGTTGCATAGGGTTGCCAAGGATTTTAACTCTGAATGAGGTGGTGTGTTGGCTCAATTCATTTCTCTTTTCAAATCAGAGCCATCTGAGCCTTAAGCAGCTTGACTTAAAAGTTGGCAGTAGACTTCAATTTAAGAGGAACAGATGGTGTCAGTGTTTCTGTGCATGTGTAGGGGTGTTTGTGTGTGATTACAAAATGTTTCCTTGTGTAGTAACCTCCAAAGTGATGACTTGGGCTACAGCAGGTCGCAGGAAGCAATTTCTCTCCTGTATCCAAGGTCCAGTCTTAATTACCCATTTTATTGCATTATTTTCTCTTCTTTATGATTCATTACCCAATGTGACTGGCTTCACTTAGCTCAGCTTAGCCCTGTTTCATCTAAGTGCTTTACAATTTAGTTTACACCAGTTTTTACTGGATTATAGTAGGAAAATCTTGACTTTTGTGTTCCTAGCTTTGTTACTAAGCATCACTTTCTTTAGGTGAGAATCTGAACATACCTAAGGTTCTGCCTACTGAGGAATAAGCTATTAATCAATTTTTGTTATTAAACTACTTGGCAAGAGCAGCAGATCTGTTTTGCTTTTAAACTTGGCAAAAACTTAGGAAAAACTGCTTTTTGCAACCTGGCATATTTCATGAATAGGAAAGTGTAGTGGTGACATCTTAACTCTGGAAATAAGAGACCATTGTTCTGTTTTTGTCCTAGCTGTATGATAACTGCACTAATTGCTTTTCTTTTTGACCATCCTACTTCCTTTGGAGATGGAATACAAATATTAGTTCTTTAAATGACCTGAGGTAACACTGCTGAGTAGTACTGCCTGACAATTGCCCCTTATGTTGTGGGGACATTTTGGAGTCCATGATGGCATGAGGAGGAGGTCAAGATACTGAATGAGCAAAACACATTCATCCCCCTTCCTAACAAAATTATCCTATTGCTTCCTTTCTCCTTCTTCCTGAAGTGAGAAGATGAGACATAGGTTGTTATTAGATGTGTGGAACACAGAACCTAACTGCAGACCAGAAAGGTGTGCCAAGAGCCACTGGCAGCATCAACAAAGACAACATACATTATGTTTTTAATTCCTAGGCCTTCTATATGTCAGGATTGACATCAGTGGAGTCTGTCACCTCTGCTAGCCTTAGAGAGATGTGGAGTACAGTGGAAGTTTGTTCCAGGATGCTGTGGGAAGGCTTGGTAGCCATTCCCCTTATGCCTTTGCCTCCTGGCTTATACTACTTGCTGGAGGAGCTGGAACTGTTTTTCTTCTCTCATGTCTATGTCTGCCACCTGAGTGCCTGATCTAATTCAACCTTGCAGTGCCAGAATTTGTAGGTCTCAGGGATATCTTTTATTCTCCAATTATGTAGTAACTGGGGCACTTCTACATGTGCAATGTAATGAGCATGAATTTACTGTGCAGTAAATGTGTGATTTTACTATGCAGTAAATTCATGCTCCTGAAACTTTGCCCAGGAATGTGTCTACATGTGTGCCTGTGTTGGGTACAATCTAGTCCAGGGCTGT